TCTGACTATCCCAGAGCAGGCAGCAGTAGGCCTACTGGGACTGCAAAATTGTGTCTTAGAGGCAGGCATGCCTTTGGACATGAGAGAGAAACTTCTGCAACTGCACGTTGCAAAATCTCAGGCAGCTCTCCTCCTCCACCGCTGCAAAGGCAAGTTCACTCTTGAGAAGACCTGCAGAGAGCGTATTCCTCCGTGTTAGCAGGACACACCGAGGAACAGGCCCATCAGGCACTGCTCCATGATTAACAAATCAAACCAGTAGAAACAGGTTTCAGTAGGCCGTTCGTTGTACGCCAGTTCTAACACCAGAGAAGGGACTTCTGACTCATTCCCACCCAGCACCCCACCTGGGGAAGGTTCACATGACAAGGTTTTGTATTTCCTCATTTAAAAGACATTAAGAAAGCTATCAGCACACTTAGGTAAGCAACTGGACAGGGCACCAGTGATTACTCTGTATTAGCAATTGCACACCGTCACTGTGTGGCGGGGAGGTGTGAGTTCACAGGAAGAATATTTCCAACACCCCGGATGCGTTAAAGTGTGGCACACCCTGGAATAGGTGTTACTTTCTAATGTCTTCATAAAAGTATTTTCTTTATTATTTGCCTCCTATGAGCACACAGATGGCAGCAGTGACACAAGAGGAACTCCTTTCAAACCCTGGGCAAAGCTGAGTAGAAACTTAAAGAAAAAGAAAAGGTAGGGGTTTGGATTTTTTTTTTTTTTTTTTTAAAGCATCATCTCAAGGGAACAGCTTTGCTCTCAGAAAGTAAACAACCCTCAAACGGACAGGAGAGCAAATTAACCATCAGTTGCAACAACAGAGATAAGGCCCTAAAAAACAACATTAAAGGTCCTGTTATGATTTGATTAAATGTGGGAGGGAGTATCTGGGGCAAAACAACCTGGATGCTGCCAACCCATCCCAAAGTACTTTTTCGTTCATTCCATATACTCACTGATATTAGCATAGCCTTTAAAAGAAAAGACTATGCTGTGTAGGTGTGGGTGTGCACGCACACATGGGTCACTCCACAGCCTTCTGTGCCGCTTTTCCCATACAGCAAGTTTTAAGCAACCACATCCAATTCCATCAACTTTCAAATCTGCAATCTGCACACATCAGGAATTGTGGCCACGTAGCACAGGCATTTACAACAGACTAAAGCTGAGCCGTTTAGAGTCAGAGCAGACGACTTCTGCAGCTTGAGCCAATGAACCCTCAAAACCGCTTTTTATAGTTTCAAGCTATACAGCCCTGGAAGGTAACACAAGAAGGGTCAGACAACACCCAAGGACCACAGTGTTCAAACCCCCAGACAGTGTCTTCAATGCCTTTCAGTTATCACAGAATACATTGGAGATGTGGTCATCAGCTGCCCTACGACACGTCTTCCCACGCAGGTACTTCTGCGGAGGAATGAGAGGTGTTCCTCTTGACGAGCAGCAGTACAGTGAAGTCTAATTCTGCAAGATACCAACATGCCTTCTATCTTCCAAATTCAGATCATAAAACGGTATTTTCCAGAGGCTACTAAGGGAGACATTTATCAAGGTAAAGATTACAGTGCTGCCTAAGCCAAAACTAGCAGTAATATTTGTCATCTGCTGGAGGGTACAGATGATACACATTCACTTTCAGAGTAGAAATTTAGTATTAAGGATATCATAGTACCAGGAACAATATAAAACTAGTTCAGACAGAAAGCTGATAAGACCTTCCTATAAGTACCAAGTGTGAACCGTGTACCTGAGGAAAGCAAAGGACGCCAAAACAATGTTCATCTGTTGTGATGGTTTACCTGGGACTCTTGTGAAGTCCACTCTCTCACACCAAGACAGGGCACTATCAGGACAGTAATTCTGATCTGCTCTCCATTCTATATGCACATGAAGACCTCTTTTGTTTTAGAAGCCAGAAACACATTAGCCATTTGGTTTTAATTACATGAAAATTGAACTCGATGCTACATTAACTTTAGCTTTTACTCTAAGGAGAAGCAGACTGGAAAGAGTATTCAAGAGGGAATGGTTAGACTAACAGCTGTCATATATGACTGTTCTTTGACAGCAACAGCAAAAATTAACCATGTCAGCCATCCCCAACAGAAACAACCAGGGTCGCAGCTTCCCAGTAGGAAAAGGACCATCGGCAGGACTGCAGAAGTCAGGTTCTGTTAATGAGATTTCACTTAAATGTAAAATATAGCATTTTCCTTCTTTAATAAGGCTTTATTGCATTTAGGTTTAATAAGTGTATCAAACCTGATTTAGCAAGTAGCAAAATAAGATTTACTTTATACTTGTATTTATATATGTGAGTGATGACTTTGTGGTATTTAAACCCATAATCTCAGGAGAATAACATCAGTTTCAACTTCCCTTCTTGCTCAACCGTTGGCAGCCAAAATCATGCTGCAATTTGCTACATCAAAATTTTGCTAGGGGTTAAAAAAACCAGTTATTCCATTAAAGCCAAAACAAACCTGGGAAGTCATTTTCATGAACTCTTATGTTCCATCTCTAAGGGTCATTCTGGTAGGCAGCATAAGCAGGAACGTCAGCTGCGTGTTCACAGTACATGTCTTACTTGACAGAATTTTAAAGTTATGGCATGCAAAAAGTCAGTCCTATAATCAAAAAATTTATACAGCAATACAGTTTACAAATATCTGCCTATGAAGACATAAATTCCCTGCTCTAAAAACAAAAACTAATGGCTGAGCCCCATATAAACATTCTGGCAACTGTTCTAGTTGCACTTTCAGCAAAGACGGAAAGTTCTCGCGTGCAAACGGGGGTTGTGCCAGCCAGCTCAACATGGCAGTCACCACCTGACGGCACTACCTTTCGGTAGCAGCACGCCCTCCTTAGAAAGTAATGGAAGATTAGAAAGATTCTGGAGCACTCCCACCTCCCAGCCTTCCCAGAGCTCACTGGAGAGCAGATGCCCCAGCTACCTCCAGAGCTAGCAGCATAACTGTGTCAGGCCAGTACCCATCCCAGCAAGTCGTCTTAGGCAGCTATGTTAAACTTTACCTCTTCAGTGTGGGGTTCTGGATCCCAAAAGCAGTGATGTCGTGAGGCACTGCACAATGCAGCGCTGAAAGCGCACTCAGTGTTAGCTTATAGATTTCTGTATAGTACTCCACAGCAGCATAAAGTTACCTTTTGGGTATGGAAGATGTTTCTAAATGCATTTAGATGCTACCACCCAGGCACCAGATTGCCATGCTTTGCTAACTAAACCTTCACATGCTTAGACACATCTCTCCTTTCTTGTAGCAAGCCCATCAGACATGCTCTGGTACTGCAAGTTGGCACCGACCATTTTTGTGAAGTTCCTTTGGCAGCATTGGTGCCTGTCACATATTCAGTAAGTGCCCTCGCTACGTGGCAGTTTCTGAACTTTCCTGTATTTTCATCTCATTAATGACGGGTTTATGGCAGGGAACTTTCTGGAGATTGTTTGACAGCAAAACATGTTCTGCCAACTAAACACACACTTTCCCTGCATTAACACAAGCCAGGAAGAAAAACACATTGATACTTTTGCAGTATCTTAAGGGACAGGTTTTGATTTTGCTGGTATCTGTAAATTTAAGCTATAAATGAATGGAAGTATGAAGAGTTAGCAAACCCTGCTTAGCAGGTCTTTGTTAATTCCTTTAAAAATTAAGAACCAAGCTTTAGTAAACCCCTTAAGATCTAATCTTCTTTCATGCCAATAACCAGTTTATTTTCTGTTCTCCTTCTTCCAGGAATCACAGTGACGATTTTAAAATGCATCATTCAGTTTGAAGGAAGTGAAGTGTTTATCTGGCCACAGCACTGAAGCTTATGCAGCCAGGAGGTGTATAAAAAAAAAAAAAAAAAAACAACAACCACAAAACTAAAACCCCTATGTTACTAAGCACAAACACTAGAAATTGTTTATACTAAGAAAGTTTGAATTCAGAGAGTTTTAAAGCCGTGTATATTATGACACTATATGCCATCACACCAAAGTCTGAAAAAAATTAACCTTCCAGAAGTGAACTCCAAGGAGAAACAGTACGTAAGAAGGCAACTGGTGTTTCATCACTGAAATAGGGTGCATCACTGCAGTTGCAGCACTGATGTGACTGAAACAAAATATTTCAGTCAGCTCTTGTACAACTCAGCACACCCTCAATGCACCAACATTTTAAAGGAGACCGTAAAAGAGCTGAGTAGCTCAATTGACAACTGGCTATGTAGAACACCAAGTAAAACACTAAGCCCGCATCTTTGCTTTGTAGCCATGGCTCTTTCAGTTCACACTTCCCAGCTTTTAAAATTTTTGTATCTACTGCAGTAAGATAAGCATTTCCCACTCATATAGTATTGTTCTATTCAGCTTGTGAATAAGGACATTAAGCAGCAGGAAACAGTATTAAAAGTAATTTCCTAGGAAAGTAAAAATAATTTGAAATCGTAAAATAAACATGGATTAGTTGCATCATATCTACTTGGAACAACAGTATTACTGCATCATCCGAAAGGGCAGACAGTGACAAGGAAATACCAAGGAGCATTAGTGTAAAACTGCAGTATTATTACAAAGGGTCCCTGGCTTTTAACATGGAAATATTTAAAAAATCCCTTCCAGCTTGAGTATGCAATGAAGCGTAAAACCCATTCCATCTTTGACCGAACATTTCAAGGCACTTTCAAACTTTCACACTTTTGTCACCACATTCACAGATGAGAAATGCTGGCAATTCATTATACTCAAATTGAAACCGATTCTTCGATACAGCTACATGTTCTGTCAATGTGCTGCCCAATGAAATACATCTATTTAGCAGCCCTGGGAGTAAGTTGGTATCTCTTGTGCTCTGTAACATTATTAAAAAGTTAAGTCACAGACACCAAAATGAGAGGCATAGCTTCACTCTGTCAAATAAAGTGATCAGTGTAAGTGGTAGGCAATTCATTCTCTTTGAATTTGTATTTCAGGTCAACAATAGCTTTACCTGCATAATGTACAGGGATTTCTATCTTTGGCCCTATGACGTAGTGACCCTCCTCCAGACTGTGAGCTGTAATTGTTGTCCACTGCCGACATGAATGAATCAGAAGGTAATCGCTCTCTCGAAGGCCTTCTACAGTTTCTCCTGCAAAACAGACGTAGTTTTTTTAAAAAAATCACACTTATTGCATGAAGAATTAGGAAAACTTCATAGTAAGCATTTTATTCTTATTACTGTTTATTTTTTCAGACATTTTGATATTTAAAAATCCAATTAAGTAAGTTTCAATGCTGAACAGTATTCATTTTGCAATGTAAGCACTTCACCTTACAGAAAACAAACATAATCCAAAAAACTCAGTGCCTGAATACAATACCACAGAGATGTAATCCAGATTACTCAGCAGTGACTCTGGGGCTCCTTTTTCAGCTTTCTGCATAAACAGGCTTTTCATATCTCTATTTATGTCCTCCTATCTCACTTAATACAAATATTTTAGAGCTCTTAATTCTTAAATAAAGGAAACAAATACATTTTCATATGTTGAAAGATCAGCATCACACTACCCTACAGCCACCTGAAGCCAAATCTTGTTCATCACTATGAAGTAAATGGGTATCACACTTGCAGATACAAAGATTTCGGCTTTGTCACTCTATCCCTTTGCAAGTTACTGCTTAACTAGCCATTCCTATGTCTGTAAACTTAATCCTGCCACTTAAGGAGAAAAAAAGATGTTAACATACACCGAAGTTCCTCTCTCAGAGATAAGTTCAACCAGAAGCCTCCCCAGATAATGTCCAGCTCATCTTTGCAATGCCCTCTGCTGTGCTGTGGTGTTTGCCAAACCCATCCCAAACACAGCCAGAGATCCAGCTCTCCTTTCTTCCCCTGTCCCTTCCAAATCCTCTGCATTTCCATCAAGTACCCTCTCCTCCTCCACCAGCTGCAGTGCCTGATCAGGACAAGAGTGCTTTGGTTGCCTTTCCAGCAATTGCAAGAGCCGCGTCAGATAGACTACTCAAAGTGCCAGCTACACATCCCAAGCATGATATATGAACAAAGTTTCATGGAGCAGGGCATATCATGGCAGACTGCTCTCACATACCTGCAGTCCTGCTCTCACATACCTGCAGTCCTGCTCTCACATACCTGCAGTCCTGCTCTCACATACCTGCAGTCCTGCTCAGTACACTTCTGTGTTAAACACACAGAAAACAGCCTTTCTTAAGGTGCCTTTAAAGCAGCCACATGAACTTTCAGGAACACTTAGCAGACACTAAACACGGGCCAAGAATAATGAAGCTTTAAATTTCATTTTCCTCTCTCACCCACCAGCCCTCTGCAGTTACAGCCAAAAATAAAGCAAGTAGTTTAGCCCTAGAATCAAGTTTGGACAAAACCCATCCCCTTCAGCTACTACAACAAACTGCACTTTCTCTTCACTGTCCTCTGATATTCTGAAGTCAGTGGAAGAATGAGACTTTCCTCACCCTGGGGCAGCAGACATTTCACCTGTTCAATCTCTGCAGAGGAGAGATACTTCCCATTAAGCGTTTTTTTTTGCCCACACCAGGCAATCTTTTCCACCGTAGGCAACAGCTACTACACACCCCATTCCTGCCTGATTTCATGCTCCCATTCTATCAGAAAGCACCCTCCTACACGATTCAAAATGCAGCAACTGGTGTGTGTGAGAACTGTTAGATTTTAAATCAGAAGAGACCATTACGACCATCTGCTCCGACATTCTCCGGCCACAGGATTCTGCTCATTTCCTCCAGAAACTTGGGCTTGGTTAAACAAGGGGGAGACCCCTCCCAACCTGTCTGCAGAAGCCAAGAGATGGACTTCCCTGGATCTGCTGTCCCACAGCCCGTTAAACCTTAAAAAAAAGTTCCTGTTTTGCACATTTGGGGCTTCAACTTATAACTGTGGATAAACTGCTGCTATGGGGGTGGAGAGGGGGAACAACAAGAAAAAAAATATCAAAAGGCATAAAGAGCTCCTGAGTACTGGTTATTCTTGCTCCTATGAAGGTATCATTTCCAGGTTTCCTTCTTTCCCACGTAGCTTCCAAGTAAGCAGGACACTCCAGGAACTGTTTTCCAAGTGCTCTTTGGACCACGTCCCTTAGCAGCCCAGCCAGGCAGACAGGCTACTTAACACCAGCTCCTTCTCCCTGGGAAGCACCACCCCTCCACCCACAGTGTGCTGGGAGAAGGGACCTCGGAAAGCCTAGGGAAGAGTGGCAAAACTGTCATGCAGTACTGGAGAACTCTTTGGTCCCATACCTATCTTGAAGGAAATTCAGATATATTTGCTAGAGGAGTCATGCACCCACTAAATTTTACCAAATTATCTGACCTTGAGCATCCCTGTTCTCTGCTCACAAGGCAACTCCTAATACATATAAAAATTATCTTCAGCTTGTTGCAGCTATGGGTTACAATTTGGAGGGAAAACACCATAATAATAATATACAGTATTATATGAAACTCATGTTTCAGTTCAGAGAGTTACACTCATGCTTTCTATAATCCATGGCAACAAGTAATTATTCCATCCCACAACAAAATAAAACCAATGACACCTAAGGGAAGAACTAGTATTTTACTAGTTTCACTGACAGTGGTAAACAAATTTTGAAGAAAATACAAAGCATCTCTGGCATGCTTTTTCTCTGCCTTACAATTTGTAGTTGTAATTTCAGAATGTTACCTAAAGGAAGGCTGGATTCCACGTCCAGGATTGCAGGGAAATAATTACAGCGTGGGTCATCCTCGAAGAGTCTGAGAAAGATATTCTCAGGAAAATAAAGACACCCATGATGAAAAGGTGCTTCTAGTCATAGCTCACATGCCATGATCTGTTTAAGTGGTTACTCCACTAAAACTGGGTGGGACAGGTGAGTGTAAAAAGAGATTACTAAGGCAGGCCCAAGAGTGACTATGTAATTAAGTCTGCAGCTGGAAGTAGCTGGATTTTTTAAACAGAACCTTGGAAAACACAATTTTTGTTACATCAATTATTTACTCCAACCGATTACATCGGAAACAAATTTCGTGCTCTACCATGGGAGTTTGAGCCGAGGAGAGGAGGTGGAGCAGATGCAACAGGGAGATCACGGTCCCTCCGGCTCTCTCACAACAGGCAGGTCTATCCATACCAAACCCTGATCTTTCTTAACTGTGGGTGAACCAGATTCCTGAGGTTGTTTTATAGGAAGATGCTCCTTGTCACCAAAGTGATTAATGGACTTGCAAAAACACGTGGCTAATGATGGCCTCCATGCTATGAGGGAAAAATACAAGGAAGAGTCAAACGTGACTGAGGACAACAAAACACAGCCATACATACTCTCTTCTTTCTTCCATTTTCTTCTAGTCTGTCTCCCGCTGTAAGACTTGCTCACTGTCTCCTGGAGAGGAGGACCTTTCAGGCAGGAGACACCTCTGACCCGAGCTACGTGACTCAGCTCCCGGCCCAAGCACAGCCCAGACTTAGCCCTTTATGCTTTCCTCAGCCACACACCTTGCAAAACAGCCACACATATCCAATCTGATTTTTTCCCCCATCTCAGTAACACTAGTTATGCAAGCCTTTCATTAATCACATCTTAACTATGTGGGAGAGAACTCGGCAGTCCTCACATCCACAAACTATGCAACTTACTTCTCACCTATTCAACATACTCCTACACTGCTGCTTACACAAAAATCAGACGTCATGAGAAAACAGAGAACACAGGCCACTCATCTTTAGTAACAGTTTTGTCTCTTATGATCAAATATGGATTAGCTCTATCTTCTCACCCTCTCCTCCGCACCCCACATGCCTGCAATATAATTAAACCACTACAAAGAATCTACAGGCAAGTACTTGTGTTGTTTTTCTCCCCCAAATAGAAGTCACAGAAGCAACGAACTATGACATGCAATTCCCCACCCTTCCCCAAGTTGCCTACCTCTTTCCAAAACATGAGTCAAGTTTATTCATAATAATGCCCGAGACTAAGAAACCCATGATTCGCTAATGGCGCCTAAGCCCAAAATAAAGCCTCAACGCCCATCCTTGCCTGACAATAAAAGCCTCGCACCTCTGAACTGAAAAGTTAGCTGGTATGTTCCTACACAAGCTGTCCTCCTAAAAGCACTCTCACCACAACCAGCACTTGGGCTACTTCATCACGCATCACCAAAGGAGCACTGCAACAGCTATTCACGTGTTCGTTGTAAATAAGATGTATTACCATTTTTTAATTACATGATCCATTTCCATACCATTCCTAAAAAAATATTGCAAAGCCCACTACTGTTCAAGGGCAATTGCAGAGGGAACACTGACTCCAAAAGGAAAATTGTTCACACGTTGATACACTTAAAAAAAAGGTAATCGCTTAATCAAGGTTCCCATGCTTATTAAACACCACCTACATTAAATGCCAATACTTCTTTAATAATTCTTTCCAGTTCCAAAACTGGATCACCCACATTTGCCAAATCTTGGCTCTGTCATTGTAAACACTCCAATCTCAAATTAACAGTTAAAAACAGTAGCAAGACTGGGAGCAGGATACCTCAATCTACAAGTTCAGAGACGAATTTCTGTTTTCACATGCAGCTTTTCAGAACCAGATGAGAAACAATAGTTGGCTATGTGCAGGGATTGAGTTTATATATGGCAATGCTGCAGCACAGAAGGAAGCTCGTTGCTTTTGAGATAAGCACTGACCTCCCTTCAGGTTGCTGCCACCACTTATTTTCTAAAGACACACACTTTTATCTAGTTTAGCATTTGATAATTTTCAAATGCCCAGAGTAAAGCCTCAGGAGCAGAACTGAAGACCACTCCAGTTTTGAAGGGTCTCAGCACTCCCACCTCCTTCTGGATCAACAATTAAAGCTTGGCCTGTTACGGTCTGTAAATGAAAATTCACGCAGGTTCCACATATTCTGGTTTGCCAAAGACAGCAATGACTTTTCAACACCAACCACTAAAGAAAAATCATGAAACAAATGAAAAAAAACCCACTTTTAAGCTTCCCCTCCTAGTATTGAGAAACTAACATTCAAGTCACTTCAAAATGTGCAGACCAACATGACTCATTCACACAGAAACTACACTGCTAAAAATAAGCAGCG